GACCGAAGCCTCCATTCGGATTTTTTTGTTTTCACGCATTGGATATGTTGTCCTGTAAATATTAAAAACATTACATTTTTGTTCTGCATGGGATTACAATATTTGAAAATAAACAAAAAATAAAAATTTTAAAAATGTTATTTTTTAAAAATGCTATATTTTCAAAATCTTTGTAAAAATGTCATTTCTTCAAAATTACTGTTTCATTATATCATATATGTTTGGGTTAACTATATTGTATTAGAGTTTAGTTTTGAGGGTTTAACGAGTTTTAGGGGTCAAAATATTTTTAAAGTTTATAATTTTAAGATTTAGACTTTAAAAATTCATAATTAGTGGTATTTTTGCAAATATACAGACTAAAAATGATATTTTTGCAATTGCCTCAAATATCAAATAGTATATATTTCATATAGATAAATAAATTTTATCTTATATAATTTTATATGCATGACATTTAGATTTTATGTAAGTGTTTTAATGTAAATCGAATACATTTGAGATTATGAGTTCTCTCCAACTTATTTGAGTTCACCAAACCCAAAAAAATTTTACGTACGTAAATCTCTTAAATTACAAATCACAAAATAATAAAAAATTAAAATGATGATTTTCAAAATTTAAGCATTAATGTTTGATTTGTGAAATTGTATGTTTATAACAAAAATGCAACTTTAATTAGAGTAATATTGATACTATTAAACGATATAAAATAAAATAATTGTATGATCAATCATATTTGATATCGAAATGGACATAAATACAATTTTTATAAAGTAATTAACATCGGTTAAAGATTCATCGTTAAACATTATGTTATATAAGTTTAAAATAGAAAAATTTTAAAAAATGCCACTTTTAAAGTGTCACTTTCTAAAAATGCCACATTTTTAAAAATTTTGCAAAATTGCCACTTTTTCAAAATTATTTTTTTTTGTTTTATAATTTATGTTTGGGTTAACTATGTTGTATTATGATTTAGTTATGAGGGTTTAGGGTTTTTAGGGGTTAAAACATTTTTTAGTCTTTAGAATTTTAAGATTTGAGTTTTAAAAATCCATAATTAGTGGTATTTTTGCAAACGAACAACTCAAAAGTGGTATTTTTGCAATTGTCCTTTTAAAATATTAAAATGATATATTTTGGTTTGATTTAAATTAGTAATATATGTATTTGTGAGTTCATGTTAAAAAATTAATGTAAATATGTAGAGATTTCCAACATGGTGTGTAAAACTAATTTGAATATTTTGATTGGTTAACTTAATTGACGTTTCCCTTAAATCCTCATTGAATGATACATATGATTTTTTCATTTAGTGTATCCTCAATTAATATATAGAGAATATTACAAACTTGTCTTCTAAATGATTAGCATTAAAATGACTAAGTGGTAACCTAAATTTAGCTTTTGGATTATAAAATTATAAGAAACGGCAACATGTGTTGTTCGATTGGTGTGTTAACTAGTAATTCTGGATGCAGATTTGAACTATTGTTTGTTTAAGTAGAGCACATCCCGAACTACATCCGGATTTGTTCATTATAGATTTATTTGTTATTTTTATTTCATAAGACAATACTTGTAGTAGTTTTATGATTTTCTATATTTTAAAATAAATATATAATTAATGATAACTTAATCTTTTTAATTTTAGTTTTGATTTGTTTAAAATAATTTACTTTTTGGTGCTCTTTACTCTTTAGTTAAATTATCACCAATTTTTAAAAATAAAATTTCGTAAA